TTGATTTGTCTGCGTTCGCGTGTGGCAGAAGCCGAACCGGCTCTTCATCCTTCCTGACGGATTGCGTGAGCCTGGGGTTGAGCATCAGCATAAGAAGCTTCTGTGCAGTGTGCAGCAGCTTGCCAGTCCTGTCTTCTAAGCACATGGGCTCTTTGCTGTCCTCACGGTCTTCTGCCTGCTTTGACTCTCTACTGTTTGCGCTTGCCCTCCTCCATACCGCGTCGCTCCTGTCGGCAAGGGCTTATACACGCCCAGAGTCTCCCCTGTCCGTGTTTGGCGTGAAGCAGATTCCACCGGGTGCTCAAGTCTCCGGGCAGCTGACCGGGGGCACGACCTTAGACACTGATGCGACGTTCACCAGCATGGGTGGCACCTTGCCACTTGTTGGTTGTGTGCAGCCAGGCTTGTCATCACCTCTTAGATCTTCCAGTCGAGTAGAATCAGTTTTGCCTGTCCTGCAATCTGCATCAGCTGGCTTGCCTACTTCAACAAGGAGTCTTGCTCCAATGGGCTTCAAGTCTTCACCCTTTGGCAAAGTTCGCATTGGCTATCGTGACACCATGCCTGTCCCCAGCTTCGGTCATGTGGGGTCACCGGTCTCGCCTCGATCAACTACTTGCCTTGGCTTGCTGGCATTCGCTGCTTGGCTGCAGTAGGTTTTGGGGCCTTTCGAAAACAACGCAGGGGCAGAAAGGAAACAGAGTGAGAGAAACGTGTGAGGTTAAAAACGTATGCAAAGGTCAAAAACTTTGAAGTTCGAAGGGCAAAACATGTGGCAACCTGGCGAAAGGGACCGGAGATGAAAGGATGGAGAGTTCTTGTGGTAGTCTGTTGAAATCAAGCGGTATTGCAGGGGTTAAGGCTGCGGCAGGGGAGCGATTCGAAGATCGGCGAGGTTTCAAAAGTAGAATCATGAACAAGGGAGGCGGACCCCCATGAGGCTTCAAAAAGCAAAGGCTTCGTTTTCGGGGGCCCTCGTAAGAAGGACCCTATTATCTTCCATTTGGGATCCCTTGTTTCCTGAACCTCCTAGATCTCAACCTTCGTCAAGCTGAGGAAGGTATTTTTTGTTTGAATGCAGGAGCTTCCCCCTGCCTAAGTTACCCACAGCCCTACCCCTGACAACTGATGATCTTAGTATAGAGTTGTTGAAGAAGGAGTTTTGGGTTTCCTTGGTAAGTGCTTGATTCGGCTTGGTTGTGTCGGTAGTGCGAGTCGACAATTTCGCCAACAGGAGCTAGATAGCCAAAGCTACATGCAGTCAGGCGCTTGTGATAATCAGGCAACCGGGGACAGGGAGAACATTGCTCCGAACTAGCTCGCATCTCTTGTCGTTTCCGAGCATTGCTTGTAAAGAACAGAATCTGCAAAGCTGCAGATGCTTGCGACTTGTCCGTGCCTCTCCGTCGAACGCCCAGGTTATGAGATCTGCGCACTTCGATTTGTCATTCTTGTCACGAAGCCATGCTCGCCTTGGCGCCTCTATGCCGGCAATCGACCACGTTTCTGCAGAGCCTTTTCTGCCGGCACATGGCTCTGTTCGTCCAGGACTCGGGTAGAGACCCGAGATGCCCTGTTCATGTTCTCGAGTTGCATCTGCCAAGGGGGTGCAGACACTATGACATAGCCCTTTTTTGCAGGACCCACGCTGTCCATCGAGACTGAGCGCAGATTCCGTGATCTCTCGATCACAGACTGCCAGGCAAGGCGGCCCCCAAGGGTCAGGGCACAGAAAGCCGTGACCGCGGGCCTCTGTCTGGCATGGTATTCGAGTTGATCTGACTCACATTATATATATATATATATACTCATACATATACATATTATACATACACATACCTACATGCATGCTTGCTGTCGTAGCTACGTGGCAACCGCTTGAGACTCGCACACACTTGGCCCTTTCGACGCTTGTGCTTTGCGCAGAAGCTGGGCTTCCTCCCGCCTCTTCGGTGTCCCGCTCGTCTGGGATCTGCCGTTTCTGCATTTGGTCGCGGACTTAGCTTTTGGGGCCCTAAACCCTAAACCGTGGGCTCAGCATTGCTGGGTACGAGACGGTGCGGTTCGGAGGTGCGCTCAGCCTCGACCCCTTGCCGTCGTCGCAAGGGTTTTTGTGGCTCGGGAGCATCCCGTCAATCACCCAGGCGACGGAAGGTGCTTGAATGTGCCTAAGACTACAAAGTGTCCGACCGGCAGGGTGGCAAGGGCCCTCTGATCAGCTGCGCCGCGCCCATGTGCGCGGGAGTCCACCTGTCGGTGGTTGCCGTTGTCTCAGCTGGCGTTGTGAAGCTTGTCTTAGGTCGAAAATGTCATGTCAGCACGATGACATCGATGTGCGTTGCGTGTCTAAGTCCTTTACTCAAATGGCATCATGCCTGCTGGTGAGGACGGAAGTCACATCGAAATCCGTGTGCGCGTGTGAATAATCTCCTAGCGCGGCGCAGGAAATTTGCAAGATTGGGCTCTCCGGCGTCAATCTCGGGCTTAGGGAGACCAGGCCAGATGAACCAGCTGAGAGACTTTGTGGCTGTAGGGGCTATTGCGTCCAGGTACTTCGCCTTCAACCCTGAGCAGTTCTACAATAGAGTCTTAGCCTGAGCGCAGCAGACCTTTATGCAAGCAGTGATTGCATATTTCTTGGTTGAGGGCGATTTGAAGCATGCAGAATCCTGTGGCAACGTCTTGTGATGCAAAGGTCGTTTCTTTTCCTTCGGAGCTACAGCAACATGGGCCCAGCTATCTTCGAGCTGCTGGCATGAGTTGGGGAGACTCCTCGCGTCCCTTCTGGAAAGCTTCTACCATAATGTGGGAGTCACTCTGAGGAGTTCACGTCCCGTGACATGGCAGGTCTTGAAATTCAGCCACGCAGAGCCCATCCCGGTTCCGAGAGGCGCATCGGCTACTGTCAGGGACGGCACAACCTTCACGAAACCTGCCTGGCACGGACAGGATTCATGCGTCTGGAGCCACCACCATCCGTCGTGATGTCGGCGCCATCAGCTCAGACGACTGTGCATGGCTCATGGTCGAGCCTCATGTACCCGCTTATAGCAAGTTCATCGACTTAACTTTGTGAGGGGCTCGCTGACCACATACCCGTTGTCGGCAATCGGCGCTACAACTTTGGGCAGCTCTCCTTCATTGAGGCTCCAGTGCTTCACACGGGCATGGGGCGATGCTAAAGGTAACCACAGGTCTGCTGTAAGGGCCCCTAAACAGGGTAAACGGAGAAAGTTCCAATATGTCTGCGCATTATGTGCTTTGTTGACGTCTGCTCTGGAGGTCACCTGGTTGACTCGAAAGTGTGGTGCCCGTCTTCGGAGCGGCACGACTTGGTTCCTCGCCGGTCCCTGGCTGAGCTTCAGCGGGCCCTTCCATGCTTGTTTCGAAGTCTGCGAGCGATTCGGAGCCCACTCTTTGCTTCCTCTTCTGATCCCTGCGTGCAGAAGGGGAGTAGTTATACAGAAGATGTGCCAAACAAGCTGAGGTATCACGATCCTGTCCGCGCCCTAGCCTGCGGCAACGGCATAGTCCCGGAGCTGTTCTGGACGAAAGCCTTACAATACAAGCCTTAAGCCATTAACCCCAACCCCAAACTCGAACCCTAGGCCATCCAACAGCCTAGTCCCTCACCCGAAACCCGACGAAACCCTTGGTGATTCCTTCTGGGGCTCAGTTTCGCATCTCGGCCCAGCTCTCTTCTTGTTCAGCGTGCCAGAGCCCTAGTCGCTGTCTGGAAGACCTTATCGGGTTTGGGTTTTGGGGCTTAGGCTCCACAATTTTGGGTCCTGGGGTTCAGGCTCAACAATTTGGCATCCTGGGGTTTAGGCTCAACACTTTAGGGTGCTGGGGTTTCGGCTCAGCGATTTGAAGGTTTGGGGTTTTGGGGGTTCAGGGTCTCTCAGGTGTAGGGTTTAGGGCCTCTCTACGACTCGCGGCTTCGCACTCCGACTCAGGGCGACACTGGAGTCCTCGATGCTTGCATTCGACAGCTGCATCACCGGTCTGTTTGAAGATATCTCCTGGGACCTGACGTGCTCGAGTCTGGAGTCGTGGCAGGTGCGTTGGGATTCTCCTTGCCAGCAAGATCCTTTGTTTAACTTGGCTCCGGTCTGAAGCTCAGGAAGAACGGGGTGTTGGAGGTATGGCCTTAGAGTCTTTGTGCCTCGATCCAGCAGTGATAATCATAATCGCAAGGATCGTACTTTGGAGGGTCATAGCCATAACCGCCAATACAGGAATCAGAATCATGGTGATAAGAATTGAACCATAATGACAATCATAAGAATAGTCATAGCCATAAGGTCATACGGCTGCAGAATCATAACAGGTTCTTGGTAGAGGGCTTTTTGGTATAAGTTGAGGGCGGATCTACAGCCGAGTTCAACAGTCGCACAACAGAAGCACAAGTGAGGTCTCAGGCAGGAGACCTGGTGCAGGTAGACACCTGACTTACAGATGTGGGGGTTTCCGAAATAGGGGACCCTGATATAGTACCCCAAAGAGTAGGGTCCTTGTTATAAGGATCCCCAAAAAAGGTACCCTAATTTTCGGAAGCTCCCATGTATCACTGTTCAAGGCGCTCCTTGTTGAAACAACTTGTCGCTTGCCGACCATGATAGCTTCAATAGACCATGGACTCGACTGAAGCCCCCGAAGCACATCTGAATCTAGCTGTTGGTCTTTCGCTCAGGATGTTCGAGCTATCTCGATATAGCATGGAATTTGCTGTGAGCCTGCAGTTTGGGTGAGAAAACCTCGAGAACCTCTGAATAAAGATGATCTTCTGCTGTAGTTGCTTCGGCAGGTCTGGCAGTCTACGGAGGCGCTACATTGAAGCTAGGAGCTCCGAACGTCAACACCATCCAGTTCGACACCAATACGTGCGCTTGTAAAGCTTCAGCTTGGATTGGTCGGGGCTTGCGGAAGCGAGTTTGGGAAGCTTCGGGCAATGCGGCAGGTACATCAAGTACAGCGAGGGGGCCAACGATTACATACAGATGTGGGTTGCCGGCTTCAATGCCCCCGGCCTGCAAGCACACTCTGGTCTGGGTCCAGTGGGCAGGGTTTCGGTTCTTGCTTGCAGGTTCCCCTTGCCCTTGTGCTAGAGCGAAGGGCGAAGGGTAAATTTCAGCTGCAAAGATGTCGCAGGGAAACAGAAGCAGAAACGGTGTTGGTGTTCGTGGAACCGAGGCTCTGGACATGGAATTCGGCGGTGGCGCCAGCGTGCTCCACGGCACGTGGACCTATCCCTCTAGTGGGGCGGTCACTTCGCAGGGAGCTCGGAGAGCTTGAAAAAGCTCAGTGTCTTCCTTACGCATCCCACAATGTGCCGCAAATCCCAAGTTTCAATCGAACCCTTGTCAACCCTGCTTCCGTCTCAGGGACCGGCGCCTGAAGACGGAGATCACGCCTCTCCGCAGGACACTGCAAGGTATGCAGCCACAGGTCGCTGGCTCAGCCTCTGTGGTTGGGGACTCCTGCTTGCCACTGGCAGCGTGCGTCTGAGGGCGAGAACGCCACGGGGCAGAAAAAGAAAGGCATCGGAATCCACTCGCATCCTCCGACTCGCGCGCGCCACCTTGTGGAAGATTGCTGAACCATACCTAGTCGGGGGCAGGTGACGGAGCCTTGTGGATGCTTCGGCAGGGTGCTCAAGCATTTCACGTTTGAAGGGGGAGGTTTGGCCTATCTTCTAAGCTCTCAGGCAACTACGCCCGGTGTCCTACTCCTTCAAAGCCGGCTCCGAATCCAAGTACATGCGCTTCGGCTTTATAGGCCGGGGACAGTCGCTTGCCGCTTGCACCCGACGGCAGAATCGGGACTTGCGCATGTTCTCTTATATCGATCTGTGCCAGCCGATGAGCTGGAGACGACGGTGCCGCAAGTGGTGCGCAGTGGAGGCACAAAACAAGGCCTGATCCGTGGTTCGTATCGCGGCTTCAAGGGATGCGCACGTGGCGATGGCAGACGCCAGGTGTGGAGAATTCCAAGAAGGTACAGATGTTTGTCGCGTGCTTAGCTTGGCGCGGTGGAACCAAGCGGCACAGGGGAACTGAGGAACGGACATGGATTTGAACCGAAGCTCCTGAGGACCTGATTGCCCTCCTCACCGCGGCCGGGCAGAGCCAGCAAGAGGTCATCGAGAACCAGGTGGGAGTGGCCCGGAAACCCTAAACTATGGAAAAAGCTGCTCAAAAATCATCACTTAAACCCTAAACCGTAAACCCTTAAACCCGAAAAGGTGGCTCCCCACTTAAATACGCTTTGCCCGTGGCAGGAGCGGCTCATGGCCGGACTCTCAGGTTCCTTCGCTTTGGGGGCCTGGCACTGCTCTGCTTTTTCCCGAGGACCAGGTCGAGTCCGAATTCGAAGCCTTCAAAGCCGAGCTGAAGCTCTTGAAAGAGCTCAAGGCCGGGATCCTTTCCTACTGTAGGGTTTAGGGTTTAGGGTTTTTAGGGTTTAGGGATCCATCCACGCGATCGGGGGGGGCGTTCTGTCTAGAGAGCTGTGCTGAGCTGTGCAGAGGAGAAGAAGCGGCAAGCCAATCGGGCCTTGGCCTGTGGGGCAACTCGCAAGAAGCGCAGACGGCTCTGGTGGCGCTGAGTTGATCTAGAGCAGATCCTTCCGAACATGTCCTGGGAGAAGGCTAGAAGGCTAAATGAGCAGCCTGGGGCCGACTTTGCCCCAAGCCGGGTGTCATCGACATCAGGCATCGCTCCAACTGTTCCCCTTTCCTTCTCAGCTTCCACCACGTCAGTCCTCATCCTGAACAGAACTGCAGGCCTTCAGCACATGGTAGTGTATGGTATATAGTATATGCGTGTGTGAGAGAGAACATACACATAATCTACATTCCAGTATGTGAGCTCAAGGTGTTCTGCTTCAGAGGACTTTCTGGGTGCAAACAGCTGCGCGAGAGCTTCACAGCCAGCTCCGCATCGAAGTGTTGTGGCGTGAGCGCAGCTTTGCATGAGGGCATCTTCAAGGGAGCCTGCAAACTCAGAATTCGTGCCGTCAGTGCACAAAAAGCGGTTGCAGGGATCGGTTTTATGTTCGATACAGTATCCTGAAGTGCAGCCAGCTGGCAGCCATGAGTCAAAGCAACTCGCAGCTTATCGGCCCATGAGTCTCCCATGGTGCCATTCGCAGCAGCATACCGATGCTCTCTCCGGGGACTATGGAAAAAAGCCCCAAAGCTGACGATGGGTGCGACGAGAGAAGCTGAAAGGCGTCAGTAAACATTGGCGCGCCTTGCAAAATACCAGTAAGCGTCGTTGTTCAGCGCCGGAGGACAGCAAAATGAAGCTAGGCGACTGTAACAAGTCAATTCAGCAACACGCTGAGCACATCATGCGGCCGTAGAAGACTCATCTCTGTCTTTCTGCGCAAGATCAGGGAGGCCTCGAAGGCTCGATGGCAGTTGCGGGCGCATGCAGGTTCAGTGCTGTGGCCGTTTGATGACAGCTCGCTGCTGCCGATACTGCGGCTTGATGCAGTTCCCCAAAACCCTAAGCCTCGGAAGCTCTGAAGCCCAAAGCCCTATGAAGCCCCGAACCTGGCAAAACCCCAGCGACAGGCAGGCCGAATGGAGAGCTGGGATGGATATGTGTGGCCAGCTGGGTCCTCGGAACGGGACCGCTGCGTACTTGCCAATATTGCTTTATTTATATTAGTACTCTACTTCTTCGACTATACCATAGTCTAGTGTGCTATGCTGCAGTATGCGCATTCTTGAGCTAGCTGTGGGCCGGTGTAGCCTCACTGGGCAAGATCATCTGAGAGTTCCCCGTGTCGGTTGGGGAGGTCGAGGCGGAGGTCAAGCTGTCTTGAATTTCGGGAATATTGAAGCTTTTGGGTACACGTTTTTGCAACGCCATCCCAGCAGAACGCTCCGACCGCGCTTCTTGCCACGTACCCATAAGACCAAGTATATGTTGGGAAGTTGGAAACCCTCGTAAATACCGTAAAAATTGTCTTTGCGACGGCTCGCAAAAGCGCTTAAAGCATCAGGATTGTGTTTTATTCCAAACTACATCCTAATGCATCACCTCTCGCGTGAGGAACTAGAAGCAATACTGGTGTTAAGAGCAGCGCCCCCGAGCTTGAGAGTCCCAATGACCCAAAAACTGCGGATCGTAGAGCCGGAACCGTTGAACGAAAGCAGTTAAGCATAGTTAACCCTAGCCCCCCAGGTACCTACTATGAAGGGCCCTGGGGGCTCTAGTACCCTATATAGTAGGTACCTGGGGGTTAGTGTAAGTCCTGAGCCCCCGTCGCCCCATCCCCTGGAAGCCCACTCCGAGAGACGGCCTCGCTTGAGGTCTCTTGGCCCTTTAGCTTGGCCCGCGTCTTCGGCACACCCCTCAAGGACACGGTACCCATTTCTGGGAGCTAAGCGATGGTATGCGAAAGGTATGAATACGAGTGCACCCGTGTTCTTCAGGGCTTAACTACTAGGATCCCGAGGGTGGAAGGAGATGAAGGGAGGGGTGTCCGGGGCCTCAGACACGGCACGTGACCCTGAGCCCAAGCCAAGAAACCTTCCATGCCCACAACCGAGCCTCAATTCTGCAGCCTCGGGTTTTTCAGAAAGTTGCAGATTCCTCTATGGGGCTCCTTAACAAGTTCGAGCTCGGACAGATGGCCAAGTACCTTGTGAAGGAGGGCCGGATAGGTCAGCTTGGCCAAATGATGTTTGTCAATGCCTCAGCTTCTCAAAAGGGGCACGCGAACTGCTGCGTGAATTCTGGCGGACATGAGTCGTCAGCTGCCATCTGCAAATTCCCATAGGTGTGGGGATATCAGAATGTTGGGGGGTGCTTTGTTTCCGAAACCGTAGATGAAAGGAAGAATCCGAGTGTTTGAGTTCTGGATTCGAGTTCTCCTATTGTCTAAAACTCTATCTTCCCTGCTTCCCGAGCAAGGCGACGGTCCTGGGCCTCGCCGTTGGCGCCGCAGACTCGGATTTGTTCTCTTTTTGGCGAATCATGGCAGGCAACACTAAACCACTTAAATCCCGAAAGACCCCCAAACCCTCCCCCCCAAACTCTACACCCCAAACCTGAAACCCTATAAACATCCTTTAGGTCCTCTAAACTCCTCCAAAAAATTCCCCAGGTCCTGCTCTGGGGAAGATCTGCAGACCATCCTTTGGAAGATCAAAGGCCCCCTTTTTTTCTGCTCCGGGGACTTTTATGGGGGTTTCGGGGCAGGTAGGGTTTAGGGTTTAGGGTTTAGGGTTGGGAGATGTAGGGAGTTTAGGGATCTAGCAAGCAACGGGCTTTCGGTTTCGTGGGTTTAAGGCTGAAGGGTTTACCGCTTGCAGTGGGGGCTTTGCTTCATTACTGAGGCCCTTCGAGTCTGTAGGGTGTTTAAACATTGGGCATCATGGAGCAAACACGATTTTCGATGTGTTTTTGTTTGCCTTTTGTGTTTGTGTTTTGATACCCGCTTACCATATATTCACATGCATGTGCTTCTATTTGTGTGTCTAGCTACTCGCTACATGCATCTTCATCTTGTTTGTTCGGTGTCCTCTCTCCTTGTCCAGGACTGGGTCTGCAACAAACCAGCAGCAGGTTCCGGTCCGCTACGTTTTTGCTGCTACGGTTCCGTGACGTCTGGAGTCGGAGCTTTGGGGTGCAGGGCCCTTGAATCCTGCGTGCAAGCCTTCCGCGTCTTCTGGGATGCCGCAAGAATTTGCTGCGAAACTGTTTAGCTGCAGTTTTCGGAGGCTGCCAGCATAGGTCCGGGAGCCAAGTGTGTGCAGAGATGGGGCCAGGGCCACCGCGCAGGGAACCCTAAGCCCCGAAACCCTAACTAAAGCCCTAACCCTAAACCCTAAACCCCTAAACCCCTAAACCCTTAAAACCCTAAACCCTAAACCCTTAAAACCCTTAAAACCCTAAACCCTAAACCCTTAAAACCCTTAAAACCCTAAACCCTTAAAACCCCTAAATCCCCTAAACCCTAAACCCTGTAAGTATCTGTGGCTTCAGCCCTTGAGGCGGCTCCCAAGATCCTGGCGAGCAGGCGGTCAGAGGGAGGGGGATCTCGGAGTTTCCGAAAGTATTGGGGTACCTTCTTTTGGGGTCCTTGTAATAAGGATCCTACTATTTGGGGCACTATACTAGGGTCCCCTATTTTCGGAAACCCCCATATCGGCCCATTGAGAGAGTTCCTGACCAGGCTTTCGCAGATCCGCAGCAATGGCGAAACTCTGTGCAAGGCCATGCACACCGCCTAAGCCTGGCAGCCGTTCATCCAACGGCCTGCCCAGAGATTTGCCATGCAGACTGTGCTTCAAAATACTTCTCGTGCACAGCTCTTAGTGATTAGGGCTGTGCACCAGAATGCGTCACAACGAAGCATGACAGGCGAAGATGATCTGTTCTTTGGCATCTTAGATGCTTACACGAACGTGAGGCAAAGCTCCCCGTAGGTTCTGATTCTGAAGAGTCTGGCCTGACAAGAGTTCCTTACAGCGCAGGAGCTCGCAGCATAGTTGGATTGCCACGTCTGCAAAAACAGGCACAGGCTTGACGCCACCGCTCCTTGCGGCAGCTTAAAAAGTTGTGCACGAATCGGTGCAATAGTCTGTCAGCGGTAGGTACGGGTGTGGCATCCGGCTGATTAGTCTTGGTAGCATGGCGCATGCATGGCCAAGAAAATTGCCGTGCAGCGAGACACAACTGGGCTGCAGGGCCAGCAAGGCTGCAACTCATGGTCTTGCGAGTCTAGCGGCTTTGGAGGAAACACGCCTCTTTGCGAGGTATTTGTGCGAAGAATGAAAAGATGATTCCAGCACTTGCATTTGCAAGTGCACCTTGTTCGTGCACGGGCTACCAAACTAAAACAGCGCAGTAGCCTGCATCATGAGCTACCGGTTGATATGCACAACTGTCTCTTGCGGCGGTCCGTTTTAAATCAGGGACATCTTAGATCGGGGAGATAGATTAGAAACGTGTCCCATCCATCAGCCAGTTGCAATGAAGATGCCTGGTGGGCGACACAGACCTGCAGCGGTTTTACCGCCACACTCCAGCACAGAAGTGTGACACGGCATTGCTGTCTGCAGCGGCAGTACGGAACACCCTCAGGCCGCACCATTTGCGCCCTATTTTTGGTCACTGGCTTACTGATGCATCAGGGTCCGCAATGATCATATTAAAGATTCCGGGCCCTAAACTTCGGAAATGAGCGCCCTAAGGTGTTCGTCGTCGGCGTTTCGGCCGAGATGACCCCGGCAGGGCAGCGGCACCCAGCTATCCGCAAAGAAAGCCCCTACGAAAGAGTTCCGCCCTAGGAGGTACTTAGCTACTTGAAAGGATTCCTGAGTCTCTTATTGACGTTGCAGGCTACAGGCACTGCAGCTCTTGCAGAATCACGTTGCGTCGGGCACCGAAGACCTGTCGCGTGGTGTGGTTTTTGGTGTCAGAGCGCTGCCTCAGGAACCCTCAGACGCCTCAGACGCTGGCAGAGGTTGCTGGAGCCCTCGGTTCCTTGGCCCGGGAGGCCCCTGGGAGATGTTGGCATTCCCGATGTCTCCAGACATCCGATGATTTGCAGGGCCAGCCAGCAAATGAGGGAACCATATCAGCCATCCGCAAAATTATCAGCACGCCGAATCCTCAGCCACGCTGGCCCAGTGAGTGTTCCAAGTCGAATTCTCGCAGCCATCGACCATCGGTATTATGTGCAATTCTTGCTGTGATGTTGCAGCCTTTTCAGCTGTTTTGGTGCGGGCACCCCAAGGCTTCTACAGACGGTTACCACGCAACACCAAGCTGCTCAGACGGTGCCTGTGAAGCTTCAGACGTGTTGGTTCTAGACCCGCCGGGCCCGTCATCCACATCCTGAGCCAGGCGGTTGACAACCAGACCCTCTTCCAGGATTGCATCGTTGCCAAGGATGCTGCGTTCGGAAAGGCGCGGCTGACTGCTTCTCAGAATTGGCACCGAAGAGGCAGGAGTAGGATGGGCAATGTTTCAATTCAGGCGGATGCTCTGAATACAACCACAACCAGCACGACAACCACAGGACCGACAGAAGCGCCAGCTGTCTGTGCACATCCATGACCCGAAACCCAACCCCAAACCCTAAACCCAACCCAGAGACTCCAATATCCCTTAATTAAGGAATATACCTTATATTAAGGATCCTACTATAATTTAAGGTATATTCCTTAATTAAGGGATATTGGAGTCTCTGGGAAGCTGGTCAGGAGCACCCACAACAACCACCAGCCATCCCGACCTAGCTGCCTGCAAGTCAGCAGTGCCTCGTCAAGCATGTGGGTAGTTCTCTAAAATAGGGTCCCTTTTAAGATCCTTTTTATATGGGTGCCGTACTATATTGGGGACCTAAAAAGGGACCCTGATTTAGACTATTATCCATGTCACAGGTGACCTGTCTCTAAAGCTAATGACGCAAGTGAAGTCGATATTGCACAAGAAGCATGATCATGAGACTAAGCATAGGTCTTCTATACATATGTAGACAGATGGACATTTTAGGTACTTCTATGCCTAAATTTCTACTTGCATTTATAGTTCGTGATATGCCCATATTTATGTATAGAAAGCAGGGCAGTCCCAATGGTAGCACTGAGATGTCGTCAGCTGAGGAGGCGGACTTGATTGTGAAGCACCGGACCTGCAACAGCGAGTCTTGGTTCGGAGTTGTGATGGTTTCTCAGTATCGCAGATCATCATCCTTTCTGCATGTACACTTGGCGATCGTGGCTTACCAAGGAGTTGAATGCCAGCCGGTCGGCGAAGCTGGCAACCTGTGAACTCTACGCCGATATGAACTACCTCGACGCAGGATCCGAGTACCGGTTTCCCGATTTTCAACGGCGACTGCAAAGCCACGCACAGCAGCGCAGCACTCACCATGACAGCTGTTCTCATAGCTACTCGAGTTGGGGACTTTTCAGTACCTATTGCACAACCTCTCACGTTTCTCCTTTGAGTGTTGGATGTATCATGTATATCTCCTTCTTGTATCGGATGCTTCTCAGACCTTCCTCCTTGCTTTGGATGTGAGCTTCTTCATGCCTCCCTTCGTGGCATGCTTTCTGTAGTCTAGTTTGGAAAGGAGCTCTGTGACGTAAGCGCCCCCCCTAGGAGCTGCACGTGCTGCACGATGCGGCGACGCCGCAGCCTTCGCAGGTCACATGCTCAGCACTGGCATTTACCCTGAGAAAACTCGGATTCGCTCATCACAGCATCTGTGCTCTTGAGTTTTTCAAGAGATTCGGAGGCCAAGTGCCGAGTGGTGCTGTGCTGCACCCGACTCTGCTTGGCAAAGGCACCTACGAGGAATACCTGGAGCGTGATATCCAGACCCTCGCTGTGCTGCAAGCACGGAGCAAGAATTGCAGCGTGCCTTTGGTAGCTTGAAGCGAGTTGCACATTATTCAACTGCCCGTGTGTTCATCGGTTGGATGTCGACACGTCTTTCAAGTATGAATGTTCTGTCATGCACCTGCAGAAACCGAGTTGAAAATGTGGAAGTGTGAAGTGTACTCCAAAGTAGATTTTGTGCTCAGGCGGCTACAACTGGTTACGATTCGAAGGTCACGGAATGCGAGAACGCTTTTGACGCATTGACAACGAAGCTGCAGGAGCTTCTGACAACACTCATGAGCTGTTCATGAGTACAAAGGAATTACGGCTTCTATGCTTTAGCACTTTGGGCGGTGGGTTATGGTGAGTTTAGGGTCTTTATCTGTGTTGCAGGAGTGCTTGGAGTTGGAAGCTTACTTGGCCAAAATCCATGCCCTTCCAGATTTGTCAACCCCGGCTGGGGCCTCAAGCGAGAGAAGCTTAAGACGGCTTAGAAGCTTGTGGGATCATGTGAGGCTGCTGGCCCGACGCACGACTTCTGCAGACCCCTTGGCATCCCTAGAGCACTCGAGTCACGGCACCACTGATGTCTGTGAAGCTCTCAGCTGTCATGGTGTCGGACTGCTTTGAGGCGCGCCCTGGGCGGCGAAGGTGACGGCCTGCAGCGACTACGACTCATGCTACACCTCGAAGGCTGAAGAGCAATGGAAAGATGACGATTAGGGGCCTCACTTCACCCTGAAGCTCAGGCCGTCATGCAAGAAAGCTCCTTCTTTGCCGCAAATGAGCTGGCCAACAGCCGGCAGGCTCCGACGGGCACAGCCATCAAAGCACATGTGAAGCATTTTGAAACTGATCGTCAGGCTGAATACCTTGCGCTGAAGCGCATCGACTGCCTGCTTGGCGTGGCTTGGCTTCACCCGGTCCCACTGAAGTTGTAATTCTGCTCCAGGCTTCGTGCGTGGAGCGCTCAGCTGTCGCGGCATGCTGTTGCCAGCCTCTCTGCAGGTCTTAGAGAGCTCCGCCACTGAGCAGCCGGACAAGCTGACGGTGTCGTGGCTGCCCTTATAGTTTCCTTGTATCATATAGGACAGAGCCCTACTGGTAGACCCCAAACCCTGCTCTTGCTAGAAATGCTTGAATCCTCACACCCGACAGCCAGGCCTGCGTTTCGGCAACCCACGACACCAGCAGCCTGGAGTTGAAGAAGCCGGTGCCGCCGGCCAAGGCCTCCTGCGCGCTGCCCTCAGCTCCCGGACTGGCGGCTCTTTTGGGCTTCGGGTTGAGAGGGCCCTCTCTTTGTTTTGTGTGCTGTTGATAAGCAGTGGCCTATCATGTAAGTTGAGGGTTGGCGTTGTTTAGCCAGCTGGATGTTCCCTGCCAGCAAATCGGATGCTGCCATTTAGAGCCTGTAGAGGCCATATCAGGGTCCCTTCTTCTCTGAAATTCCCTTGCGCTAACCCGACACGGAACCAAGTCGGGAGAAGGTTCCTCAACTTCTTTCCATGTCAGGGTTGTGCAGCCCTGGTATGCTCACTGAGAGACATAATATGCGAAACATGGGAAGCTCTATGTCCATCCGTTGATTTTTGCTCCTATACAGGTGAGCATAGTTAGCGTGTGTGTGTCTGTGTGTCTGTGTGTGCGTGTGTGCGTGTGGGTGAGCTCCGACCTGCGTACATTTGCCAGCAAGTTGAATCAGAAACTCCCAAACCCCAAAATTAGAGTAGTTCCTTTTCTGGGCTCATATATAGAATCCTATAAGGTAACCCCAAAAAGGAACTACTATGGGGCCTTAAGAAGCCTGGAGCTTCCGAGTACTCAGGTGCCAGGCACCCAACCTGCCGGCTGCGATGCTCCGAAGTAGCTCTTTGCTCGCGCATGAGCTGCGCCATAGCACACCAGATAGAAGGCCTCGCCACGGAGTGCAGTGAGATCATAACAAGAGTCTTTGGGGGTCAGCGGGCCAGAACATGAGCAATCATACATGCTGTTATCTAATGATGCCTTCATATGGGCACTCGCACAAATTCCCTATCTTAAATATATTCTTTTATTTGACGTTTTTGATACTTCATACTATTACTATTTAAATATGCTCTCATAGAAACATTTCTGATCTATTATATATCTTAAATACGCTCTTTCATTTGGGAATATCATTTCCATATATTTTTTATAATATGTCTCTTATTTTTGTAGTCGGATTTAGCTTATATACGAAAGTCGTTCCCTAAATTAGTCTGCATCTGAAATACGCTTCCTCTGGTTTCAAATTCTTGAATATCTAAAATAATATATGATGGGAGAATTTATTTTCTAAAATAGATGGTGCTTTGGGGAGGCTCAATCTCTTTTTTTGAAAATTTTTGAAATTATTCATAATTGATTTTATTTTCTCTGGCTTTTTATTTATTGAAGGATTTCTCTTTCTTGTGGTTGGAAAGTCTAATTATGTTTATTGTGTTATTTAATAGTATAGGGATTTTGTCATCTAGCAAAAAAATTTGGAGGTGGGGGGGCGCGTTATTAATTTATCTATAAACTTTATATATAATATATTATACTTTTCTTATTTTTAGTTCTCTTTCAAGATTTTCGTCTGATTTTTATTTTGATATATATAAGAAAAAATAACTATATTGATTTTTCTCGATTTTAGAGAATGGGAATTTACAATTAGATAAATAAAGAGAAATATTTTGAATTCTAAATCATATATAAGAAATATTATTTTCTATATATTAATTACCTCGAAATATTTTATATTTGAAATTTGAAAAAAATGGTGGAAAAAAAATAGAAATTATGAAAGTAATATTAAAAATATTATATAGAAATATCTTAAATATAGAATTTGATTCTTATATTTCTTCCACTATAAGGGAGGTTTCATAAGACTTCTATATTTCTTTTTATTTTTTTTGCTATCTCATATCTAAAGCGTATATATCTAATTTTCGCCTTCGTTAGAAGAATTTTTTTTTTTATAATTCCCTGGCTCTTTCTTTTTAATTCCCCCCAATATTTTCATGAATCTTTTTTTCTAAAGATATTTTTTATTTTTTTTCAATCATTTCTTCCCGGCTTAAGGGAGCGGGGTAATTTATTTTCAAAAAAGCGGCGAAATTAGGGAGATGACAGCTTCTTCTTATTCGCAAATTTTTAAATTCTATATCAATTAAATTTTTTTATTGTATAGTAGCAGTGATAATCATAATAATGATAAGCATAATGATGATAATAGAAATAATAAGAATATAAATAATTTTAAAAAAAATAATAATTAGAATTATAGTATAATTACTACTATTAAAATAAAAATACGAGTAGTAATAATTATAATAGAATATCAATAATAATAATATAATAATAATAATATTTGAATAATAGTAATGATAATATTGATCTCTATAATAATTATCATAAGAAATTTAATAATATTATTGATAATAATAATTCCGATAAGAATATGAATAATTATAATAATAATCAGTATCATTATTATAATTATAATAGTATCAATATTCATAATCGTCATAATAATAATTCTCATAATAATAATAAGAAAAATAATAATATTAATATGAATTCTCCTTGAATTTTTCTCTAGGCCTAGTCCTAGGCCTGCCCCTTGCCCGGCCCTAGGCTTATCCCGACTGACCCTTATATAAGTATTACACCAGCGAAGACCCCAAATAGTAATAAACCAGTCAAAATATTGCATGAATTTCGAACAAGATAGCAAACTCGAAACTACAACACTTTGTACAGGACGGGGTCAACAATTTAGGATTTAAGATTAAGGTTCAGGGTTAGGGATTTAAAGCCTAGAGTCAAGTCCCGGCGAGGCGCGTCGCAGCATCCGGCTCCCAGATTCAGACAGAGCGGAGACAACAACGGATGTAAATTGAGATTATGAGGGGAGACAAATCCGGCTAGTCCCCGGCGAGGCGCGTCACAGCATCCGGCTCCCAGACTCAGACAGAGCGGAGATAACAGCCGAGACAAATCCCCGGCGAGGCGCGTAACAATATCTGGCTCCCTCACTCAGACAGAGCGAAGACAACATCGGAGATAACAGTTTTCATTGAGTTTATAAAGGGAGATAAATCCGGCTAGTCCCCGACGAGGCGCGTCAAAGCATCCGGCTCCCAGATTCAGACGGAGCGGAGATAACAGCGGAGACAACAGTTTAAATTGAGATTATGAAGGGAGACAAATCCGGCTGCATCCCGATGCGGCGCGTCGCAGTATCCGGCTCCCAGACTCAGATAGAGCGGAGACAACAGCGGAGCGGAGACAACAGTTTAAATCCAGATTATGAAAGGAGACAAATCCGGCTAGTCCCCGGCTCCTAGACTCAGATAGAGCGGAGACAACAGGGAGACAGCAATTTAAATTGAGATTATGAAGGGAGATAAATCCGGCTAGTCCCCAGCGCGGCGCGTCCCAGCATCCGGCTCCCAGATTCAGACAGAGCGGAGACAACAGCGGAGACGACGGCTTAAATTGAGATTATGAAGGAAGACAAATCTAGCTTGTCCCCGGCACGGCGCGTCACAGTATCCGGCTCCCAGACTCAGACAGAGCGGAGACAATAGCGGAGACAGCAGTTTAAATTGACATTGTGACGGGAGACAAATCCGGCTAGTCCCCGGCGAGGCGCGTCCCAGTATCCGACTCCCAGACTCAGACAGAGCGGAGACAACAATGGAGACAACAGCTTAAATTGAGTTTATGAAGGGAGACAAATCCGGCTAATCCCCGGCGAGGCGCGCCCCAGCATCCGGCTCCCAGCTTCAAACAGAGCGGAGATAACAGCGGAGACAACAAATTAAATTGAGATTATGAAGGGAGACAAATCCGGCTAGTCCACGGCAAGGCGTGTCGCAGCATCCGGCTCCCAGACTCAGACAGAGCAGAGACAACAGTTGAAATTGAGATTTTGACGGGAGAAAAATCCGGCTAGTCCCCGGCGAGGCGTATCCCAGCATCCGGCTCCCAGACTCAGATAAAGCGGAGACAACAGCGGAGGCAACAGTTTAAATTGAGATTATGAAGGGAGACAAATCCGGCTAGTCCACGGCAAGGCGTGTCCCAGCATCCGGCTCCCAGACTCAGATAGAGCGGAGATAACAGCGGATACAACAGTTTATATTGAGATTCTGAAGGGAGACAAATCCGACTTGTCCCGGCGAGGCGCGTCCCAGCATCCGACTCCCAGACTCAAACAGAGCGGAGACAACAGCGGAGACAACAGTTTATATTGAGATTATGAAGGGAGACAAATCCGGCTAGTGCCGGCGAAACACGTCACACCATCCCCTTCTTGGAACAAATTGAGATCCTCAATAGTTCGCTATTTGGGGAATTATGAAGGAAGATAAATCCGGCTAGTCTTGTGCGAGGCGCGTCACAGCATCCGGCTCCCAGACTCACACAGAGCGGAGACTTCAGCTTAAATTCAGATTATGAAGGAGGACAAATGCGGCTATAGTCCCCGGCGAGGCGTATCATAGCATCCGGCTCCCAGACTCAGACAGAG